CTTTGTAGGCCTCATTCCGTTTTCGGTAAACAGTAGAACAATGTGCTTTACCAAAAAGCTCTATCATGGTCTCATCTGCCCACAAGACATTTTCCCAGAAGGATTTTGGCTTACTCACGTACATTTTGGCAAACTGCAGTCTAGCTTTTTTATGTCTCTGTGTCAGCAGTGGGGTCCTCCTGGGTCTCCTGCCATAGCATTTCATTTCATTCAAATTTCGACAGATAGTTTGCGCTGACACTGATGCGCCCTGAGCCTGCAGGACAGCTTGAATTTCTTTGGAACTTGATTGGGGCTGCTTATCCACCATCCGGACTATCCTGCGTTGCAACCTTTGATCAATTTTTCGCTTCCGTCCACGTCCAGGGTGATTAGCTACAGTGCCATGGGTTGTAAACTTGATTATGTTGCGCACCGTGGACAAAGGAACATCAAGATCTCTGGATCTTGTAACCTTGAGATTGTTGATATTTTTCCACAATTTTGGTTCCCAAGTCCTCAGACAGTTCTCTTCTCCTCTTTGAGTCAACTTCTCTTTTTTATGTGGTTTCAGGTGTGATTTTTATATTGCCCACACCTGTTACTTGCCACAGGTGAGTTTGAACAAGCATCACATGCTTGAAACAAAGTTATTTACCCACAATTTTGAAAAGGTGCCAATAATTTTGTCCAGCCCATTTTTGGATTTTTGCGTGAAATTATATCATTTTTGGCTTTTTTTCCCTGTTTTTTTGTGTTGTTCCAATACACACAAAGGAAATAAACATGTGTATAACAAAACGTGTAATTGCAATAATTTTCTGGGAGAAATACTTCATTTTCTGGAAAAGTTTCAGGGGTGCCAACAATTTCGGCCATGACTGTAAGTTGTGGGGTTAAGTTAGATTTAGCGAGAACTAGAAACTAGCAAGACAATCTCAAATATTTTTTAAACCCACAGTATTAGACTTGTGCCTCTTCAGGATACAGTACAACTGATTGTGCATTTCTTATTCCAGCGTATGATGAAGCACCTTGTATCTCCAAAATGATAACTTTACAGGAGAAGGTAAAAAACCTACTTTACTTTCAATGTAAGTCACACACAATGTAAAGGACGACACGCATTTTCAAATTATGTCAAAAACTGAAAAATGACAAAAGTGGAGATACCAGGTTTTGTTCCAATAACAGTGATATACTTCCATTATGCTTGACGAATTCCCAGTAGCAGTTGCTGAATGTCATGAATAATATGCTTAGTAGTTTAGTTAGTTCACATCTATATAAACACGTCTAACTTAAGAAGAAGCTCTATGCATAGAAAATCTCTGGTCATATATAAGGTCCAAGAGTGTCAGTTCGTACGACAAATTTAAACATTCGATTTATATAAACATATAAATGTTCTTTATAACGTCAAACGACGTGCCGTCAGATCTCGTGCAAAACCCAGGTTTCAAAACCTCAAATCAGATCGGAGCAATTGATTCATTTTACTCAAACAACTTGAATGATTTGGAATGAGCATCACTAATTAGACCTGTACAATCTAGTTACGTGTTACTGTAGTACCCAGCTGTCAGTAGCAGGGAACATGGCAACTTGCTCTTACAGCCAACAATACCGAAGCTTCATGGTAAACCAAGGAACATAACACAGATGCACAAACAAAAAAAGGTAGGCCAGTAGGAAAGACGTCACAGAGGGGGTGAGTAAAACGTAAAACAATCTGCAAATAGATGACGCCAGGAGCCAGTGGGAAAGATGTTGAGTTTTTTATTCAACAAGGTTGCGCTGACCAAACAGACACGTAGTAAAACTGACGTCACTGTGTTTCACTGAAACAGCACAGCTGACTCCGTTTCACTCAGTTACAAAAATGTGTTAAATAACATCAACAAGAGGAAACGGGTTAAAACCAGCAACATGGTAGAATTGGGAGGTGAAACTATTTTATTAGTTAATATTTTTTTTCTCCACCCGCTGGTGCACAGTGATGCAGTCAAAACTCAGAAGACGTTTTATAGGTGGTCAAAAGTCACCATGGTATGGAATGATGAATTGTGCTTAGTATCAATAGGGACATAAACAAACAAGTTAAGAAAGCTCTTTTGGTTGACGTTAACGGAAAAAGCAAGTAATTTTAATGAAAGTTTGAAGTAATATGTAAAGTCCCCAGCCCATATGGTCCATATATGGAATCCATGCTGCAAAAACAGCTCATTTTGGAATCATTGCATCAGTGATGCCACAGTGACCAACTCATAAACATCAATATAAATTTACACCTATTCAGCCTACAGCAGTTTATCTCCCCTCATTCATACTGAAGTTCAGCTTTGACTGGTTTTTGAATGAAACGCAGGACGGCCAATTAGAAGAGAGCTTATTTACATATATGAGCCTTAAAGGGACAGTTTAATTCTTGCTTGTTTAATTCTTTATAAAAGTATAAAGAGAGGCTAGAAAATAGTCATGTAAAATGAATTATGATCAATTTTGGTACATACAACCACACCAATGTTATAAGCAGACCTCAAGGGAAAAAATAAAATGCAAGAAAAATGGACAGGTAATATAGATATTTCAACTCAATGTTGCAAGTTTTTGCTGAAACTCAACATTTAATCTGCTTTCAAAATGCTGATTTTAGCTCTATTAAGCAACAAACAATACATATGTCTATATATACATTCTATACATTGACAAGTATAGACATTTTAGGGTAACCTATATTTTACATAGTTATGTAGCCATTTCAAGCTTGTCCTCTATTTACTCACATCAGTGCTCTGCTAGTGACCATGCGAGCGTTCACGTGTGAGATCATGCATGACTCTCAGAGTATCGGCGAGGCATACTTCACATTCTTGTAAAATGAGATTCAGGGCAACAGAAGGAAATCTGAAACTGAGTGAGACGTTATTAGACTAAAAAGCTGGATTATATTGGGTTAACTGATTATGACCAGTTTAGCCCTCTGTGGTTGCTTTACAATCACTTTGTTTACATCCTGAACTGGTTGATTCAGTTTCAACGGATTAACGGAGAGACTGAGGGTTGTGTTTTTTTATGGCTGGTGGTCAGAGGTCGGGGGGAATGGTACACTGTTCTAGCCGTTGTTGACTTGCTTATCAGCTTTCTGTTGCACGTGCACCGTCTAGCTTCCTCATTTGACTAACTGACATTGCTGGCTTAACCGTCCTCGCTCTTCCTCATCATTCATTCAAAGAGCTTTTCCTCTGAGTAAAAAGGTGGAGGTGATGGCAAATCTGGTATCCACCACCACCCTGGCTCCTCACGTCCCCTACTTGTCTAGTGAATGTCACGGCTACTATGACACTGCAGTATTTGTGCTCAAGTTACTCAGTAACCCACGCTGAGCGGCAGTTGCTATCAGCAGTCGTTGGTATTCTTAATGCCTCCAGCTCAGCCTGTCATAAAACATGCAGAGTAAATAAACAGACCAAGCTTATGATTCCTTGCTCGGTATAAAGGAGTTCCAACCAGTGAGGACTTCAAGGCCAAGTACGTTTGCATCTCACTTGTAGTTCACATTAGAATTTTACCTCCCATAGACTAGTGAAGAGTGACTGTGAAAAGAATAATAAAGCTATAGAGAGACACTTAAGATAATAAACGGATTACAAAAGGATGGGCGATGAAAGTAAATATCTTTGATGTAAAAAATAAAGAAAGATAATAAACAGTTTGCTGGTCTCCTTTTGGTCTTGCCGCTAATTATCATGGTAGTACTGCAGCCCTCCACACAAGCACATTGGGGTTCTATTCCCTGCTTAAGCAACACACTATGCTATACCATTCAGTATCAATCATATTCAGTAGCCTTCAGTTTAGGCCATAAATGTAAATTCTGTCTCAAACAAGGAAAAAACACCTCTACAAAAATGCTAATTTCTGCTAGCACTACTATGGTATTCTAGAAGTGGGAATACTAAGCTAACAGTAATTTGCATTTTATTGCCATTCATGGGGTGGCATTTTTTTAATTAAAAAATGATCCCACCCATTGTAAATCAACACATGATATGTTGATTCTACTGTCAGTTTCTAATTATTTTAGTACTTAATCTGAGACATTAGGCCTTCTGTCCAGCTCCTGAAGTCCTAACCAATGGGAGAGCTTAAGTGGCTGTATCTATTCACAACGTATTTGCGAGATTGTACTGTGCCTTCAACATGTGATGGTAGGATGAGGGGAGACAGTGTTTAAGGGAGGGGAGAGAACTTGGGCTGGAGCTCTGGGTGTCCTACTCTAAAAGTTCAGGCAGACCATAACTTCATAGAAAATTCAGATTGTAACATTTTCCATTGGGTGTTTTAAGAATGTAACCCTTTTGCTTCCGATTAAAACTTCATAGTTTAAATTCAAACATGATGATTCTATTAAAGAAACATGAATAATCTGATGAACTAGAAGGCATTGAGGGTTCCCCACTGATATCAATGTGTCCTTCATCACACTACATCTTCCTACATCTGTTCTACATCTGGCTCTTTAAAGAACCATTCATCATATAGTACTTCCAAAAGTGGTTCTTCTACGCTGTCGTTCCAAGGAACCTTTTTCTGGGCATCTTTATTTTTAAGTGTAGATGTTTTTTTCTACTTTTTTCAGAGGCAAAACATGACTGCTCGGATGTTGGTACACCAACGGTTCATGTGGGCTTTACTTTGGATAGGTAAACTTCCTTTGTATCCTCAGTGTTTGTTTAGGCGACGCTTTCAACTCCTGGCTTGTCAGTTCAGGCTTGCGTACTGAGCCAACGGCAACCTACATGGTCAAAGAGGAGAAATTACTTCTTAAATATACATTTCAACAAGCATGAAACCGTAAAGCAGCTCAAAACAATCCCAGTCCCAAAAGAAAAGCTGAGGGAAATTGAGCCAAATCACCTGGAATAGACAGTTGGAGAGAGAAAAGAAAAGAAAGAAAAGACAAATAGAGAGAGCTATTGGAAATGTTACACTCCGAAATTCCCCTGTCCTTCATCCCGCCCCCCAACGCCCCCCCCCGAAACACTCCCTCAAGGCTACGTTATTGTTCCTGCCTATCAGTGTCATTTCCACAGGCAGCCCTGCCTGAAAAGGGAGTGAGGAAAGTAAGGCAGGTGAGAGAGTAGACGAGACAGCAGCAGAGCAGGAACGCGAAGAGCATATGAAATAGCCCAGACGTCTTCAGCCCAGTGTGGACAGCCCTTCCCACAAGAGGACCCTGCACTGCTACACCTGTAGAACGGAAGACGACTTCAGATCAGAGAATGCGATCCCGTCCCAAGAGAGGCTAAAACAGGAGGTGGAGGACTGAACTCAGCACAGTGCAAACAGGTGAGTGCTACTACAACCTGTACTGCTCTGGATCAGTGCATGTGGCTGATGACTCGGAAAGGAAACAAAAAGTCAGAACAGGATATTAAACCTGATTAGAAACCGTTGACATTATAACTTTGCAGTAAGACTAGTCTGACATGTTGGACAGCCGTTAGAGACCAAACATACTAGAATTACCTCTAACGTTCAAGTATGTGACAGGTAGGGTACACATTTGAACCTGACCCTGAAGTTAACCCCTTATACTCTAAGGGGCTTCACACTAAATAACCTAAAGTAGTTACTGAATATTACAGAAGATTTCTACTAATGTCTCAAAATGTCTGCATAATTGAGTGGTTGAGATGTAAACAAAGTCATTCAGAGTGGTATGATGTGAAAGAGTTCATTGTAGAGAAACTTACCAACTCACATTATTTTTACAGTGGTGGTGATAGAAACCCAGGGTCACAATGTCTACAACTCAAATATGTAATGCATATAAGTGCATGTACTTCTCCACTGTGAATGAGCTATAAAACACATTGTAGGCCAAAACCTTTTAAGACAAAATCTCAAAACTATTGTAAGCAGTGTATTCATAGTTATTTCATATAATAGCTTTCTGTGATGGCATTAAACTCTTCAGATGTCTGGTTCCCATCACCACCACTGCATACAGTTCTGACTCTGCAAGTTTCTCTAGAATGAAGCATTTTACATCATACCACTCTGAATGACTCTGTTCACATCTTAACAGCTGAATTATGGAGAAATATTGGAAAGTCAGTCAAATTGACCTAACTGAATAGTAAGCCTGCACCCTTTTAAAAAAGGTGGTTCTTGGCTTGAATGTTCTAGTAATTGGAAAGGTTCTTTTCACACCACTCTTACAAAAATGACCTGTCAAAGAACCGTTGGTAATGCTTTCTTTTCTTTTATCTAGAACTCTTATCTAAGTGCTATGTATTAACCAGGCCCAGGTAACTGTGTGGTGCTGGACACAGCTCAGAAGTATTAGATAATTATTTTGTGTTCATAGTGGTACATTCCATGACAGTTTAACTAAATTAACTGAAATGTCCAGATTCTAGGCTAACTGAGTAAGTGTGCGGTACATGGAAGAAACAGTTTGGGTTTCCTAAAGAACCATGTTTGATAAAGAGATGTGTGAGTGTGAAGAACCTTTTAAAGGTTCAGAGAAACTTCACATAATGCTAAGGTTCTATACCAACCATTTTGAAGTTAAACTTTTAGAACGGTTCTTCACATTCACACATGCACATTCTCAAAAGAACCATCCATGAAAGGTTCTTTAGGGAGCCAAAAGTGATTTTACCATGGCATCATGCAAATAATCCTTTTTATGTAAATTAGGTAAAATGAGGGGAAGAACAAAGACAGTCTAACTACATTTCATTTAAATTCTGTTAACCTGGTTATGACCTAGAACTTAGAGTAACTGTAATAGTAAGCTTTACTAAACCATCAATTTAAAGGTTCTTTAGGGAACCAAGTGGAATATATCTCTTTGTGTGGGTGAAGTTCATTGCCTTGAATTCAACCTACAAAATTAGTCAAGTCACACATTTTTTCAGCCTTGTATCTCAACTTTGCTGGCCTTTTACATAGTACAGTGTGTTATGGTGAAGACGTGATGAACAGGAGTGTCCCAGTACTGGACTAGAGGAATCAGGTCATGTGTAATGTTTTACCCTCAGCATTGGAGGAACTCCAAGGTGGTTGGGTTAATGTGTAGCGCACACATGGCCTGTCTTCACGCTCCTGAGGTAGAAGCAGAGTAACGCAGAGTGTGTGAGAGCTGCAGGTGCTGTTGGAGGAGCTGTTCCCAACCCGCAGGCTCTGTCTGTCATTGTGCTGCCCGGGCACCGGCCTGCTGTCCAGGAATGCCAAGGGGAGAGTAATAAGAGGGAGAACAAACAGGAGCATTGTGCACCGCAGGCAGAGTGAGAGGAGCACACAGCCAGACAGACAGACAGACAGACACACATACACACACAAACACACACACTTGTTTTCATACAATGTCAGGACATTGGCTCAATATATATATATTGTTGCTGTGCAAAGAAAAACAAGTATCTCCAAATTGGTAATTTTACAGGAGGAGCTAAAAACGTTCTTTACTTTTACTGTAAGTTAATTAGATGTTGTCAGATGTAAATGCCGGCTGCTGTGCTCAATAATGTTGATAATTAAATTGAAAAAGGAGCTACTTTTTTGGACAAAGACAATAACAGAAACCTTCATTTATTTCAATTCCACTCAAAACAGCTCAAGAGTCCAGACCTCAACAGCACTGAGTGTGTTTGTAATTATTTGGATTGTGAGTAGCAGAAAATGCAACCAACATCTAAGACTGAACTTTGGAGATATAGATAGATATCCCTGTAGATGTCTTAGAAAAACTGAAAGCAAGTTTCATGAAAAGAATCATAGAAAAATGTGGAATCACTAAAAAATGTAGAATCACTAAAAAAAAGATATTTAGTTGTTGAGGCTTCTGAATAATTTTCTGTTAAATACATATTTTTACTTTTTTGACACTGAAAAATAAATAACAAATAAATGAAGGGTGATCTCTAACTTCTGCCCAGTACTGTTTGTGTAAGTAACTATATGCAATAAAAATATGTTCAATATGCGTTATATATAATTACTGTCAGAAAAATACCTTGTATCTCTCTCTGTGTTGTTTTTTCAGAATTAAAAAAAGAAAACTTGGTCCATTGACCTCCATTCAGAGGTTTTTGCAGTTTTTCAAGTTACAATATGTATCAACGTTTATGTTATAAGAAAATATAACATATCTAATGTATTGAATTACTACATATGTAAAAATGATTTTCTAAACTTAAGCCTAACCCTACACTTGAACTCAGTAACAAAAAAAAGTTTTGTAGTTCCAGTAAAAAAAAACAAACTTAAAGCTGCTCCTGGCATTGTCATTTAATGTAACATTCAAACGTCAAACATTTTTTGTCCTGAAAATGTATGAAAACACACACACACACCCACAGACAGGTCCTCCCTGCAGGCCTGTGTGAAAAGACCATCTGCTCTCAGACAAGCTCCTATTCCTGGTCTGCAAATACACACATACATGCACATGCTCAGAAAATAGATTCAGTGTAAACAGTGTTGATGCTTTGTTGCTTTGTTTAGAAAAGTAAACATTTGCGATGTACAGGACAGCAGTATGTTCAGGTGCTGGTACCAAAATAGTACGGATATTACAATGAGGCTACATCTAGTTATTTTGGACATACTACGTTACCTTTACAGCTACCTGCACTTAAAGGTTATCATGACGGACTGTCTGTGCGGCAGGGGTAGCAAAGCGCTGACTTTGAGAGTGTTGAAAAGGCTTCTGAAGGGCACTCGTGCTGACAATGCAGCAAAAACAGTGACAACAAAGCGGTCTGTGTGCTCCACGCTGTTAGCAAGGGAGTCCCACAGAACTAGCACACATGCTAAAGCATGATGACCAAGGTGCTGAAATGACTCAGCATGAAGTGGCGTAATGTGATACTGATGACATGAGAGAATACTCGGAGCACAACAGTGGTTTCGAAGCTTTTGTGGAAACTCGTGCCAAATGAAAGCAGTTGTAGCTACAGGAACATTAGATGGATCGTAGATGGGCTGTATATGATGTGCTGAAAGAGAACTAATCTACTCTCCTTATTAACCTTTTGCACACTCATGCCCTGTGTACCGTTGCTATAGTCACTTGGCTAGTCATGTCAACATCAGTGAGTGTTCTAGAGCAAGTACACAGGCCCATAAACCCAGGGCACAGCACATTCAACCTCAGATATACCCACTTAAAACAATCTGTGCCAATTTGGCATCCATAAAACATTTGTGTGGTGTTTACTAAATAACTGGACTCATAGAGGTCAGTTTCAGTTAAACCACACAGATTCTGTTTAATGAAAACTACAGTTGACCTGAAAAGCAAAATGCTGGCAGAAGTGCTTAGTGCCAGTTGTTTACCTTGGCTGGTTAGCATTTATACACTTGCAAGGTTTGGGCACTCCTGGATACATGACATGACTTTTTGATTTTCTAAGTGAAAGTAAGTTGAGTCGTCCTCTACAGAGAACAAACGTCTACACATTTAAGTGCACCTTTACTGTTTATTTGCTGAATTTAACATATTGGGGAAAATTTAAAGAAACTTTGCATTAAATTAGCAGAAAATGCTAGATTTTTAAAGGCGCTGTCCATAGAAAATGTGTAACTTATTTTCACTTAGAAGGTCAAAAGAACATTATTTCAAACTTTGAAATACAACTGTATAACTTTAATGGTATTAATGGTGTTTATGTGTCAACATTTTATAGATTTTTAATTATGAAAATATTTTTTGTAATCGTATATACAATATAGGCGATATATACTCAGGGTTTAAGAAGACTGTTCTTAATCTACCACTTCCTCTCTTATAGTTGGACATAAGGAAAGCATAAAAGAGAGGACGTACCCATAAGATGGATTCAGGGCCGACGGTGTGGCACACCCAGGTGGCTCCTCTGGAGGGGGACATGGAGAAGGGCCCCGAGCTGCAGTGCTCCATTTGCTTCACCACTTACGACAACGTCTTCAAAACGCCCAAGCAGCTGGACTGCACCCACACCTTCTGCCTGGAGTGCCTGTCTCGCCTCATGGCCATATCGATGGACCCTCAGGAGTCCAAGATCTCCTGCCCGTTCTGCCGGCGCCCCACGCCTATCCCCAAAAACGGACCCCCAGCCCTCACCACCAGCCAGGAGGTGCTGTGCCGCCTGCCTGTTCACCAGCAGCAGGAGGAGGCCGTGTGGCTGGAGGGTGAGAAGCTGTGCTATAAGCAACCGTTGGAGACCGGCATGCCAGCCTTCTGCATCTGCATCGATATTGGAGCGAGCGGACAGGCCGGAGTTCCTCCAGCTCAGACCCGCTCGAGACCAGGCCTGCTGGAGCGGCTGACCGACTGGAAGAAGCTGCTGCTCTTCATCATCATTATGGTATTGCTGGTGGTGATTGTGCTTTGGCCCCTGCAGTGTATCATAACAACGGGCTCCATGCGCTGCATACCGAGGCCCCCAAGGCCCCCGGTTAGCACACTGGTCCCTCTTACACTGACCCAACCATAAGGGACACCAAAGGAATGTAAAAGAACTTATTAGCATAAAAACTGTTCATCTTACACTCCAGAGACTTGGACCCTAATCCACCATGGACAAATCACAATCTAAGGGTTAATGGTATTACTGAGAGGCTGCTGAGTTCCAAAAGCATCTGTCATTTTAAGGCCTTTGGACAAACTAAGCTGTGATGACACAAAATGACATTTGAGACTCATATTCATCTTCAGAAAGCTCCTGGAGAGCAGACAGTGCTGGAACAAGAATCAGAATGCACTGTCCACTCTGAACTGGACTGAGTTGTCTCATACTGAAAAGACACTTGTATTTTATACAATACTGTGCAGAAGTCAGAGACCACCATTTATTTATTTAATCTGCAGTCAAAACGGTTATTACAGTCAAAAGTTATTCATTTTTTTCAGGATATTTTTGACGAGATTAGATATAAGGTAGCCCATTTGCACAAGGACGGGGAAAGTTGAAGAAAAAACAAGTTTCCAAAACTGGTCTTCAAAAATTGCTAAAAGATATAGAAAAAATGAAACTCCTAGCAACCGTGTGAGAAGATAACTCAATACTGTATGTGTAGTAATGATGAAGTTGTTACTGAGAACAGGAAATTTGCTTATCAAACCTACCAGCTTTTAAAACTGACCTAGACAAACATGCCTGCGGGTTTCTTTGAGAAACTGAAAGCCAGTTCATAATGAATGAGGCAGGGAAAAGGGTGGACACTCCAAGTCAGAGGTGGTCCTGGAAAGTTCAGGTCCAACACACTTGGCTGTAATATTCAGAAGCCTCTGAAGGCCTTCATTACCTGGATCAGGTGTGTTAGATTAGCATTGGAGCTGAACTCTGCAGGGTGATGTATCACCAGGACCAGGACTGGGCACCGCTGCACTAAATAGTGAAAAATGGATATCATATGTCTCCTGCTTTCCTCCTGACAAAATGAATAGCTTAAAAACTGGAAATTAAATAAATAAAGGATGGTCTTTCACGTTTGCACAGTGCTGTATGTGCTTGTTGTATCATACTGGCTGCTGTAACACAGATATCGTCACCATCCCACCCTGAGAGACCAAGCAGTGGTTGTGCTTGTGTGCCTCTTTAGTATAATGAGACTCATATTCATCTTCAGAAAGCTCCTGGAGAGCAGACAGCGCTGGAACAAGAATCAGAATGCACTGTCCACTCTGAACTGGACTGAGTTGATTTTACAGGACAGATGAGATCATGTGTGGTAGGGCCACTTTTTTGTGCGATGTAAACAAGTCTAATAAGAATAAGAGATGGGCTACGAATAATGCTTATCTGAGATCTACATACCAGTGACCAACGTTTGCACTTTCCAGAAGTATTCACATTATTTTATGACTAAATCATAATGTTTGATTTTAGATATGAATGTGACTTAGTTGGTAGGTAATTGCAAGGTTGACCAATAAGATGACAAACATGCCAGCTGAGTGATTATTTGTAGAAACCAGATAAATGTAGCTACAGTATTCAACTGGTGGCTCTTTATAAAGAAAATCTCTGCCAACATTCATTAAAAGGTTATATTAACTTTTTAATAACACTATGAATGTCTTACCATGCAGTTTTTTTGCTATCATGACCCCCTTTCTACAATTGTACATACATTGTGTATTGTCTATTTGATTGCTCTGTATTATGGAATACATTATATTTTTGGTTACAAAAAATAAATGTTGAGTAAACATGAACCCTTTGGGGAAGTTTATTACTGTAATTTCTGATCTTGGGATTTCTGGAGGTGTAATATTAACACTACGGTAGATAAACAGATGATGTAGACACTATGATGGAAAACTAAACATGGATGGATTCACCAGAACCTTTACTTCCTGTTGTGCGCCTGTTACGGAAGCAGGTGCCCAATGAGCTTTTCCAGATGAAACCCAAGCTTCCAAGAGATGCAATAAATGAGTACACCCATGTAAACCAATCTGTCCTGCCAGAATGACGGTGCAAAACTGTTTGTGGAGATTATTCACCTGTTCCATTCTTCCTGGGCAAAACAGGCCAATCAAAGTAGTTCATTACTAAGCCCTTTATGGGAATGAGGTTAAAGTTAATCTACTGTGAAACCATATCTGTCCTCTTTTATGCAGTTTCAGATATCCTCATGAGGGAATTTAGGAAACCAGCCTCCAAAATTGGCCACGTATACAAGGAAGATCACTGAAATAAATGCTCCTATTTACCAGAAGCATTATTAACAGAAGATGACCACACAGCAGAGGGCAGACACAACGAACAGTTCAAACAAGACTTTTGAGAAACTCCCCTATTTTGTTACGAGTAACTGGAGTGAAAATGATTTACAAAATAGGGGAGTAACGATACAATCAGTTCACGACCAAATTACATTCTTAATACTGGGTTCACAGTTCAATGTTGTAACAATATTTTGAACGAAGAAAAAATGATGATGTATCAACTACTATTGAAAATACAGGGTGATTCAAAATTTCATCCAATTTCAGAATGATTTATTTTTTCTTTAGTAAATCATTACAGAACAATGCAGTAAATTGTAAATGGTTTAAGTGAGCATAAAGTTTATTATGTAATTTTATAAGTGCTCAATATGAACCTCCTCCTGCTGTACGGACAACATCAACGCCATAGTCAAATTCATCCCATACTCGATTGAGCATGTCGGGTGTCACTGTACTCACGGCTCTTTCAGTGCGATTTTGGAGATCACCCAGTGTTGTTGGAAGTGGCACATAAACAGAATCCTTAACGTACCCCCACAAAAAAAAGTCACATGGTGTGAGATCTGGTGATGCTGGTGACCTTTTTTCTTGGAACTGTAGGTACCAATGACGAGTGCTCTGAGTTGTTGGAGGTTCACTGCCATAGTGATCATCAGAAAGTCTATGGCCCCCTCTTTCAATTGGTATGTGATTGGTTCCTAGGCGCCTCACAGTTGTAAAAATATGCCGTTTTGAAATCGGATTAATCTTTTTGAATCACCCTGTAGAACTGGAGGCTAAGAGGCTGGAAGTGGGAATGTTGATGATGACTTATTAAACATGACTTATTCATTCATGCATTGACCGTTGGTGAAATACTTTGGTAGCACAAGTAGCCACTTTATTCCGACTCCTTCTGGTATTTTTTGTGTAATCAAATACATTTTTTTTCTCAGTGTGAAATGTGACTCTGTGTTGAGCCGCTAGTGAGCAATGAGAAATTCATAGCAGTCCACAAAAAGATAAAACAGATAAAACTGCCGCTTTCTTGATATCCAAAAATCATGTACACTTGCCCCATTAAAAAACACCCTTTTATAGATGTTAACTTGTTTGCTCACCGACACAGATGAAAATCCAATTCAGTTTTGTAAATTATATCTCTACTGAAATATATTCAGTCAACGTTTGTGAAGGAAAAAAATTGCATAGTTTGACTGACGGACCTCCAAACCAGGTGGAAATGGCTTTGATGGCTGTTATGAAAAAGGGTAATAGAATTCAGTTGGAATCACTCGTCTCTATGATGCACATTATCATACTGTTGCATGCCAATATACATGTCACAATGCATTATTACACCCCATATAAAATTGGTTCACATATTTCAGTATTACATCGAAGTATTCTATATCTATTTATTTCATCATTATTTTATTATTATCATTTGAGACAGTCATCGCATCAGCTGTGTTTGCCACGACAGAAGCCTTTTTAGGCTGAGCCAGTGCAAGAGGGAGAAAGGTCTTCACACGAGGACAGTCAGCACACCACTACTCAGATCAGGCATAGTTCATCCACCAGAAACAAGGATAAAAAAATAACAACATTATATTCAAGTCAACTGAAAAGTAGAATAACAATTTGTGATATACCTTAGAATCAATGACACTGTTGTAATAATAATAATAATAATAATAATAATAATCAAGGATGAATTGCCAAAGAATTCTAAAACAAAATACAAAAGCCATCAGTGAATATGTCAATGTTTTATCATATATTTAAAATGTACAATTTAAAATAAATCTGAGAAATAAAATGTATAATGTAAAATTCAACACTGATGGCAAAACATCTAAATGACAGAAACAAAAGTCATGTACTTTTCAACAACCAAAGGACATTCTGACACTAGCGTGCGGCTAGGATTCAGCAGTTCATACAGAATTTCAAGTATTAAAAGTCTCAGTATTTCAGCAAATTGCCAAAGATTGACCCCTCAGCCATTTTCACAGCGGCAAAGTGAAAAGAAACACATTTCAACAGGAGATAAACAATCCTTAATAAATCCATCCTAATAGAATTACAATACAATAAATACAACTCCTCTTTTTCATTCAGTGCTATATGACAGGGAAATAAGCTTGAGCTTTGCGACATAATTTCTTGCATTAGCTTCAGTGTTCGGTTATTAGTAGCACAAGACACTAATCTCCATCCACAGGCTAAAACCTCCACATGCTTAGTTACATCATTTTTTACTTCAGAGGTCATCCAAAGGACAGTGAATTCACAGGTTAATGATAGCCCAAAAGAGAGTAACAGGAACCTCCAGATTGCTGCTTAATTGTTATCATGAGGAGGATCAGTGTTGCAACATCTGTCAGATCAAGGCCTAAAAAATCGAGAGTAAATCTTCAGCATTAAATACTGAAACAATCATGCTGTTCAAACCACAGCGGAGTCGCACCCAAAATAAAGCACGTATCCTCAGTTCTTCCACTCATGACATCACATCTCCTCATACAGCCTACAGTAAAACCACATTCATGGCCTCAGACAGTGATTAAACAGACCCATCATGCCCTGTGATATTTTAAGCTTGCAGAAACCACCGCATATGTCCAACCTTTGTCACTCACGGTATCCGGTCTATACAAGATCGCCTGTCTTATGACATCACCAGTGACGCTGGTTTCTTCCAATCATCGTGTCTGGATTATAGGCGTCTTTCAAATTGCTTTTTTTTCCTAGACAAATCTATTCTTTAATCTTGGGTTAGGGCCATCTGGCCTGTTGCTGTTTAGCTTAAGTCTGCTCTGAAGGCTGTTCACGTCAATGACCCAGGCCAACATGTCGACTTGTCCTCTATGCTTGGACACTTTTAGCAACATGACGACTTTCATTTACCATCTATAATTCTCACATCTCGACCTGCAGTTGCAACAAAATGTAAAGCGCCATCCCTGAATATCTAGTCATAAATCACATACTCTCTGAATATCAATCAAAAAGTTTTAACGTTCCTTCTCTGAGGAACATGTGGAATAACATCAATGAAAATCTTATTAACTCTGGTCAACAAATTCAACATCAGCTCAGCAAAAACCTGCATATGTGCTGTACATCATAAAACCACATTCACAAATATCACAAAAAAGAGAAACTCTGAAGGAATCATAGATATAACATAGAAAACAACTAAAACGACCAATAAAAACACCTCTAGTCCAGAAGGCGCACCCACTGTTGTTCAGGAAGGAGAAAAAACCTAAGTTCTAGTGGGAGGAGCCCAGGCTGATTGGTCGACGAGCTCATTAGTAGCTGTAACATGCGACCCCATACATCTCGACACAGTCTGTGAGCTCTGTAAAGGGCGAAGCTTCTGTAAAGCAGCATCAAAGCAGATACGTCTGCAACAAAGCACAAAATGCAGGCTGCTTATTGGCACAAATGAATCTTGCTGTACTCTATATTGCACCTGTCACACCTAAAATACACATCTCGTTCAAAACTACCCGTTTAGAGCTGTTAGCTACCAATAACGCCCAGAAAAGTAACACAACTTGACGTATGTTTCCCAAAGAGGCTGATCCTTGAGGCCCGGCACAGGTGCTGCAGTTCTACTTGTTGTTCTCGTGTGCCCCTTTGTTGAGATCCTCTGTTGAGATCCGCACTGCTTTAGTGGGCCACATCCATCACTTAGTGAAGCACTAATTACTGCAGCTAGTGAGATTCAGTGAGATATACAAAAGGTCTTTGGTTACAGTAGATAACATCCAATGGACAGCAGGCATAGATAGTGGACAGAAGGAAACCTTCCTGCTGAAGCTTGCATCGCCAAGCGCGTAAAAGTCCTGTTCAACAGACATCATGTAGAAGTGATTGTGTAGCTGAGTGGTGTACTGTGCAGGCTTATCATCAGACTGGAGGGAGAAGCACCATGTCAGGTGTGCTCTGGCTGTTTTCGCTGCACATCAGGCACTTAAACTGTGAGTGCGTCACCCACAGAGCGTCAGTCAGTCAGTCGGTCAGTCGGTGAGGAAGGAGTGGAAGAGCTGTGGCCCACACAGTGCCAGCCGGGGCCGGGCCAGGGCCAGGGCCAACACATGGGCGTCCACTATGCCAAGCTCCAGAGCCAATCCACAGCCAAGTGCTTCCACATAGCTCCTCTGCTGCAAAGGAGGAAGAACATTAATAGCAGTCTGCAATTCTATTAGTATTTCTTAGGATAAATTCATACTGACTGGCCTTTCATATTGGTCCACCTTGCTGAAGCACAGTTAGAGACTGTAGATTTTGTTGATTTATGTGCTAGCCATCCTCAAGGCCCTTCATCAATGATCTGACCTCTGAACTGCCTAACACACCAGAGACACTACTGTGTGTAAAAATCCTAAAAATCGCAGCAATGTTGCTGTGCCTTATATTATATATCTATATAATAATACAAGATTGATCCCATGGTCAGAAACTGACAGTGAATGAGGGTGTCATCA